AGATTAAGCAAGAAAGAGAAGGCTGGGCGGACTGCATTTTCTTGGATTGTCGGAAAGCCTTTCACACAGTACCGCATAAGAGGCTGGTACATAAGCTGGAGAGACAGGCAGGTGTAGCTGGTAAGATGCTCCAGTGGATAAGAGAGTACCTAAGCAATAGGAAGCAGAGAGTTACGGTGAGGGGTGAGACCTCCGATTGGCGTGAAGTCACCAGTGGAGTCCCACAGGGCTCTGTACTCGGTCCTATCTTGTTTCTGATATATGTAAATGATCTCCCGGAGGGTATCGATTCATTTCTCTCAATGTTTGCGGAAGATGCCAAAATTATGAGGATTAAGACAGAAGAGGACTGTTTGAGGTTTCAAAAAGACCTAGACAAGCTGAAGGAATGGTCGAATAATGGTTGTTAGAGTTTAACCCAACCAAATGTAATGTAATGAAGATAGGTGTAGGGAGCAGGAGGCCAGATACAAGGTATCATCTGGGAGAGGAAATTCTTCAGGAGTCAGAGAAAGAAAAAGACTTGGGGGTTGATATCACGCCAGACCTGTCTCCTTCAGCACATATCAAGAGGATAACATCAGCGGCATATGCCAGGCTGGCCAACATACGAACGGCATTCAGAAACTTGTGTAAAGAATCATTCAGAACTTTGTATACCACATATGTCAGGCCAATCCTGGAATATGCAGCCCCAGCATGGAGTCCATATCTAGTCAAGGATAAGACTAAACTGGAAAAGGTTCAAAGGTTTGCCACCAGACTAGTACCCGAGCTGAGAGGTATGAGCTACGAGAAGAGACTACGGGAATTAAACCTCACCTCGCTGGAAGACAGAAGAGTTAGGGGGGACATGATCACCACATTCAAGATTCTCAAGGGAATTGATAGGGTAGATAAAGACAGGCTATTAAACACAAGGAGCACACGCACAAGGGGGGACAGGTGGAAAATGAATGCCCAAATGAGCCACAGAGATATTAGAAAGAACTTTTTTAGTGTCAGAGTGGTTGACAAATGGAATGCACTAGGAAGTGATGTGGTGGAGGCTGACTCCATACACAGTTTCAAATGTAGGTATGATAGAGCCCAGTAGGCTCAGGAACCTGTACACCTGTTGATTGACAGTTGAGAGGCGGGACCAAAGAGCCAGAGCTCAACCCCCGCAAACACAACTAGGTGAGTACAATTAGGTGAATACACACACACGTCCTGTTTTCTACGTGTGGGTCGCGCGGTAAAAGTTCGATTCGGAGTGTTTTAGCAGCCTATTTATTTTAGCACGACGTATCCAATATAACACACACACACACATAACACGATATAACACACATTTCCACACGTATCCCCTGGTGGTGTAGAGCAGGAGACACCCCGGACACACACACACACATTTACACAAGTGTCACGGACCCCAGATGGCCGTATCTCAATTAACAAAATTTTAGCGAGAGAATTACCATACGAGTTTGTGAGAAAATTCTTTACTCAAGGAACGTATATGCGTATTACTGTATGCCAAGTATACTATACCTAGTAATTAGCTGTGTTAGTTTACTAATACATATATACGTATATGTGTCGTATATGTCGGGGGGTCAGGTTAGAGGGAAGTGGATACATTTCATACGAGCCATGTTGCCAAGCCTATGTTAGTACCAATGTGTATGTATACACATACATACAATGTGTATGTATCAATAGTACCAATATGCACAGTTTGTTGATCCCAAATTGGCGGCTTTAAGAGCCAGGAATTATACACAGGAGGGAGGGAATTATTAGGGGTAAAGCGCCAAGCCATTACGACTATACAGCGCTGGGAAGGGATTAGGGTTTGGGATGGGAGGGGGAGTGAGGGGAGGAGGAAAGGTGCCCAAGCACTTGGTGGACGGTCGGGGGATTGAACGCCGGCCTGCATGAAGCGAGACCGTCACTCTACCGTCCAGTATAGTGTTATTTACAGAGTGATGGGAGCCCCGAGTGAAAGCGTGACTGCAAGTGGAGCACATCTGATGGCCTGTGAGTGCTCACGAGTGCCACCAGACCAGCACGGTTTGTACAGCTGTCGGGTGACTGTCGTCTCGTGGCCCGGTCACCAGGTGACTGACTGGTGCTCGGACAAACGTGTACTCACCTAGTTGTGCTTGTGCTTGCAAAGAGCCAAAGTTGAGCTCTGGCTCTTTGGTCCCGCCTCTCAACTGTCAATCAACAGGTTCCTGAGCCTACTGGGCTCTATCATATCTACACTTGAAACTGTGTATGGAGTCAGCCTCCACCACATCACTGCCTAATGCATTCCACCTGTTAACTACCCTGACACTGAAAAGTTCTTTCTAACGTCCCTGTGGCTCATGTGGGTACTCAGTTTCCACCTGTGTCCCCTTGTTCGCGTCCCACCCGTGTTAAACAGTTTATCTTCATCTACTCTGTCAATTCCTCTGAGAATTGTGTAGGTAGTGATCATGCCTCCCCAGCTTACTCTTCTGTCTTCCAGTGTAGTGAGGTGCATTTCCCGCAGCCTTTCCTTGTAACTCATGCCTCTTAGTTCTGGGACTAGCCTAGTGGCATACCTCTGAACTTTTTCAAGCTTCGTCATGTGCTTGACAAGGTACGGGCTCCATGCTGGGGCCGCATACTCCAGGATTGGTCTTACATATGTGGTTACCTTACCTTGAGGTGCTTCTGGGGCTTAGCGTCCCCGCGGCCCGGTCGTCGACCAGGCCTCCTGGTTGCTGGACTGATCAACCAGGCTGTTGGACAAGATTCTGAATGTGGTGTACAAGGTTCTGAATGATTCCTTACACAGGTTCCTGAACGCTGTTCTGATATTAGCCAGCCTCGCATATGCCGCAGACGTTATTCTTTTTATGTGGGCTTCAGGAGACAGGTTTGGTGTGATATCAACTCCTAGATCTTTCTCTCTGTCCGTTTCATGAAGTACTTCCTCCCCCATTCGGTATCCTGTGTCTGGCCTCCTGTTTCCACCACCAAGTTTCATGACCTTATATTTACTCGGGTTGAACCTTAATAGCCATTTGTTGGACCATTCATTCAGTCTGTCTAGGTCATCTTGTAGCCTCATACTATCTTCCTCCTCCTTAATCCTCCTCATAATTTTTGCATCAGCAGCAAACAATGAGAGAAACGATTCTTTACCCTCTGGGAGATCATTTACATATATCAAACAGTATAGGCCCAAGGACTGACCCCTGCGGGACTCCACTGGTGATGTCTCGCCAGTCTGAGACCTCACCCCTCACAGTGACTCCCTCGTCTTCTGTTGCTTAGGTACTCCCTTATTCAATGGAGTACCTTCCATTTCAATCTCTCTCTGAGACAGAGAGAGAGAGAAAGAGACTGACTTTGAAAAAGATTGCTCGCGTAAGAGGCAAATTCTCAATTTTTAATCAAGCTCAACTTCTCCCTAATTTGTCCCTGTACCACTCACAATTCTATCCACTTCTGGAGGCTTCTTAACTCAATACAAGTTGCTAAGAAACCTTTCAATTATTCTAAAAATATTAACTTTAATATTAAAATATACCAGAGATGCTTTCAGTCACTTGAGCAAATCAATTACTGTGCACAAACTAGTATCATAAGATAGTGATGCATTTAGTGAATATAGCAACACTTTGCTCCACATAACAGCACTTCAATGGAAAATTTTGGGGGGACGGTTTCCTAGAGGCATTTAAGGAAAACTAAACCTTGATCAATGCCTTTAATATTAGCTAGAACTGTCGCGTAATTTGTGAATATATTGCCAGTGGTGTTATGTCATGTTCTCCCCCCCCTCTCCTTTCTTCCTGTTCGACCAACGTACTATTCGACCTCCCTCATTGCTGGAGCCTCTATATCCGACCTCCCCCTGTTCGACCCTCCCACTGCAACCCGTCCTCGACTCAAGTCCATTACATCCAGCGGTCAACCCCACAGACGCATTCATAAATTTTAACATGCTGTTCATTCAAAACGGGAATTTTCTCAAGTATAAATTAATATTATAATATATTGGCATATTGTGTATATATAGGCATAGGTTAGGTTAGGTTAGGTGTTTAGGTTCTGTTGGTGATTATTTGTATTTGTAGTACGTGGGTGAAGCATTTACAGCGTTGTGGTTCGAACAAAAGTCGTCAGTGAAGCACTTGTCCCGGAAGTGTTCGGACGTCACCAGTTGTGAGTCGTGTGTAAACTGTTTTCATTCATAAACAGCGGGGGGAGGGGGGGTTGGTGGGTGGATGGAATCACTTTTGGATCTTTGTTTGGAGAACGGGCTGCCCACTGCAACCCGACCTCATAAATAATGGCCAAAGTCCATTCCATGCACCCGTCAACCCCCCTGTTTATGAATGAAAAACGGTTTACACACGACTGACAACTGATGACGTCCGAACACTTCCGGAACAAGTGCTTCACTGACGAATTTTGTTCGAACCACAACGCTGTAAATGCTTCACCCACGTACTACAAATACAAATAATCGCCAACAGGACCTTAACACCTAACCTAACCAGTGCCTTAATAAACACAATATGCTAATATACAACAATACTAATTTATATTTGAGAAAATTCCTATTTTAAATAAAGAGAATAGTAATTTTTTTTAATGCGTCTTTGGGATCGACCGCTGGATGGAATGGACTTGGTCTGCGGACGGGTTGGGCACTGCTCCCCCGCCCCCCCCCCTCCCACTGCTCAACACGCACATAAATAACTTGACACATAAAAGTCTACACAGTTTATTGTTCTTGAAATCGACTTGTGAATATTTTTTTTCGAGAGAAATCACTTATTTGTAATACATCCAGATGGTCACACCGTACGGACACACGCACACAGTGGCTGGCAGACACGCACACACACAAAGTAGTGCACATGCGCACACGAAGGAGGCCACACGCACACGAAGTAGTGCACATGCGTACACGAAGGAGGCCACACGCACACGAAGAGGAGGACACAGAGGAAGAGGACACGGGAGCCACTCACCTGAGGCCGTTGACGAAGAACTTCTCGGTGATGTAGTCGCGGCAGTTGGAGTTCTCGAAGGCCAGGTAGAACTTGTAGTCCCTGTTGAGCATCTCGAAGCACTTGGCGGAGTTGGACCTCGGGCAGCGCTTGGTGCCGCAGGCGCCGAAGATGTCCACCCCGATGTACTTGCCCAGCTCCTTGGCGTACTGGAGGCGGTTGTTCCGCGCGCCGCAGTTGGACACGAACCACGCCACTTGCTTGGTCTTGTTCGCGGCGTAGTTGATCTCCTGCGGCTTCTGGCGGAGGGAGTTGTCGTAGTAGACCCACTTCTCGTAGGGCGCCACGATGTCGGAGTCGTGGCGGTAGGTGGCGGTCCAGTTGAAGACGTTCCTGTTGGTGAAGTGCTGAGTGTGTAGCGGGCACTCCAGCATGAACATGACCCACACCTGGCGCGGGTCGCGGCTGTGGGCCGGCATGCTGAAGTGGTCCTTGTACATGATGGCGTCGGCCGAGGTCAGCTCCGAGCGGCTCCCCGTCAGCACGCACGTGTCCACCGGGCACTTCAGCTTCAGGAACTGCCCGCGGCCCGCCCTCAGGCCCCACGAGTTCATCCCGTTGTACATCAGGATTTTCTTAAAGTACGGGAGGGCCTTGTCCGGGGCGGCGGGGTCCGGGTGGTCCTCCAGCAGGAGGGGCGGCGGCGGCCGGAACATGAGCTGGTCCACGATGCGGTCGTCAGGGTCCTCCTCGGGCCACAGCCGCTCCCGCCGGACCCACTGCTCCGGCTCCACCGGCGCCTCCGGCCGCATCTCCCCGCCCTTCAGGTACCAGGGCCGGCGGCGCGGGGGTAGCGTGGTGAGGGTGATGTTGGGCAGGGGCTGGGGGCGGGGCGCGGAGGGCAGCACCGGCGGGTACGGGTCTGGGCTGCCCTGGCCCTCCCCGGCGGGATGGGCGCCGCTCTCCGCGCCCTCCTCCGCCACCTCGATGACCGGGTGGTCGAGGTGGGGGGCGCGACGCAGGGCGAGGGGCGAGGGCGCGGGGGCGTGGAGCCAAGCGCCCCCCGGCTGGTGGACGGACACCAGGAGGAGGGAGAAGGTGGTGGCCGCCGACAGGTAGAGCAGCCCGCGGCGCAGCGACACCCGGGGCATCCTGCCGCCTACCCTCCCACCATCACCTGCACCACTGCAACCAGAAACACCTCACAGTTAGTCAGGGCGGGATGTACACAACACCTTAACTCCACACACAATAAAACTATGACCAACAGCACCTATAACCACTTGGAGCATCGGGGCTCGAACGCCGACCTACCAAGTTGTTAGGTCGTCGCTCTACCGACCAGGCCAAGTGGTAACGAGTGTAGGCCTACCGACAATACACACAACAACTGCTTAAGTCTAAAAATCAGCGAGAGATCTGTCGTCAGCTTTTCCGTTGTTGCGTCACCGGCCTGAAGAGAAATTCGAGGATTATTAAATGAAGCAGAGAAGGAATATAATGGTGTGACAACTTTACCAGCAAAAGATGTATTGTGTGATTCCACACAACAAGAGCTGTAATTGTATCTGTTAAATATAAAACACCTGTGATTGTATCTGTCATATGTAAAGATTAATGTAGCCAGAGAACAAGAGGAATTAGAAATTGTAAAGTGTACGCCAGACAAGTGACTGGCAGAGCTTACATGTGGACCACATATCTGACCTGAGAGAGCTTGCGAGTGAGTGTGAGAGAGACACTTACATGTGGGACAGATGTACATCTGCCTGGGGTCATGGAGGAAGATCACTACAATACTAGAACAGGGGGGTTAGAATTAGTGCATAATAAGAATACATAGCTTGATCAAATACGGTGTATGAAGATAACTCAGTTCCCCCTAGAAGATAATGACAGGGATAATTAATAATAATAATAATAATTAATTAACTTTATCAGACACAGGCAGCCAGTGTGTGTGGACTTACCTAGTTGTACTCTTCCTAGCTGTGCTTGCGGGGGTTGAGCTTCGGCTCTTTAGCCCAATACCTGTGTTATTCCCTTTTTTTCCCTTTCCGTGTTTCGTAATACAAAAATTTTGTGAGATAGAAGGGATGGGAGAGAGACGATGGAGGGGAAAGGTAGGAGGTAGATGGGAAGACTAGGAAGGAGGGGAGAATCTGAAGAGAACAGAAGGAAGAGGAAGCAGGGGGTGTGGGGGCCCAGGAGGGGGTGTTGGGGTGTGGGGGCCCAGGAGTGGGGGTGTGGGGGCCCAGGAGTGGGGGTGTGGGGGCCCAGGAGTGGGGGTGTGGGGGCCCAGGAGTGGGGGCCCAGGGGCCCAGGAGTGGGGGTGTGGGGGCCCAGGAGTGGGGGTGTGGGGGCCCAGGAGTGGGGGTGAGGGGGGTTGTGGGAGCCCAGGAGGGGGGGGGGTGTGGGGTGACCAGAAGCCCCAATCAGGACAGAGGTGAGCACTCGGCCGCCGACTGACACTTAGGAAAATTGCCTCCAATGAATTATATGTCAAGCGGGTTTTTTTCCGGGTCCGCGGCTTTTTTTGTTTGTTTGCCCGCGTGTAGATTTCTCATTCTCTCTCTTCCTCTCTTATTACCTATCATTTGCTCTCTTATTACCCGTAATTTACTCCCGTCTCATTTGCTCAGCCTCTCCCACTGTCCCCAACCTCACCCCTCCCCCTCTCTGTTAGGAGGGATCATCTCCCCCCCTCCCACCCTAACCATCCCATCCACTTTTCTGTCTCCTTGTCCCCTAATCACATGTCAAAATGTTCACAACTTATATTTCAAGCAAATAAACAACCCCCCTCCCTCCCTCCCTCCCTCCCTCACCCCCTCTCCCTCCCTCCCTCCGCCCCACCTCACCCCCCCCCTCTCCCTCCTTTCCCAGTCTTCTCCCTCTCCCTCCTTCCCAGCATCTGTTGCCTTCCTCACAGCTCCCTGACAAGAGGGAGCCAGCTTAGCTTACCTGCCAACACCCCCACACAGCGTGTCAGCAAGGCGGACAGTCCGCCGCCTATCATAATATCGTAATTCATACTAAGCTTCTCATTTCGAAGTTTTTTATCCCTTCGCCTCTGCCTCTTAATCTTCTTCACTAGAACAAAAAAAAAAGGTAGCATTCCAACACCTGCAGAATGAATCAATTTCTTGTCAAAGGCGGTCATTCACTGGTGTATTCACCTAGTTGTATTCACTTAGTTGTTCTTACGGGGATTGAGCTCTGTTCTTTCGGCCCGCCTCTCAACTGTCAATCAACTGTTACTACTATTTTTTTTTCCCACACCACACACGCGCGCGCTCACGCGGTGCGCGCGCGCATGCGCTCACCTATTCGTGCAGGCAGGCGCAAGCTACAGCATGCAATATGCACGGTGTGCAAACAACGGCATACAATACTCAACTGTTGTACAGTTGGGTCATAAATGAGCAATATCCATGTGGTCCCTCTGTGACCCACTTCTGCCTGTTAGGTAAACGCTTACCCATGTCCCTGCTCTTCCCTTCTACACACACACACACACACACGCCACACACACACACACACACACACACACACACACACACACACACACACACACACACACACACACACACACACACACGCCACACACACACACATACGCCACACACACACACACATACGCCACACACGCACACACACGCCACACACGCACACATGCCACACACGCACACATGCCACACACGCCACACACGCGCGCGCGCACACACACACGCGCACACACACACACACGCGGGGAAAGAAAGGGCTCAGGGGAAAGACGGCCCAAGATATGATGGATTACATCACGCAGAAGTGCAAGGACGCAGCCAACAAGTTTGTCCCAGTCCAAAAGGAAAACAGAGAAATGAAGATGAGAAACCCATGGTTTAATCAAAGATGTAGGCTAGCTAAGCAGCAAAGTAAAAGGGCATGGAGAAACTATAGGAATAACAGGACACTGGAGAGCAGAGAAAGATACCAGAATGCCAGGAATGAATATGTCAGGATGAGAAGAGAGGCAGAAAGACAATACGAAAATGACATCGCAAGCAAGGCAAAGACTCAGCCTAAATTGTTGCATAGCCACATTAGGAGAAAAAACAACAGTAAAGGAACAGGTTATGAGATTAAGGATAGGGGCGGAAGGATTCACTACAAATGACAAGGAAGTGTGTGAGGAATTGAATAAGAAATTCCAGGAGGTCTTCACCTTAGAACAAGGAGAAATTCCAGAGGTAAGTGAGGGAATAGCTAACCAGGAACCACTGGAAGAGTTTGAGATTACCAGTGGGGAAGTAAGGAAGTGTTTACTAGAGTTGGACGTGACGAAGGCTATAGGCCCAGATGGAATCTCCCCTTGGGTTCTAAAGGAAGGAGCAAGAGAACTGAGCCTACCACTCTCCATAGTGTATAACAAATCACTGGCAACAGGGGAACTGCCAGATATTTGGAAAGCAGCTAACGTAGTCCCGATATACAAGAAAGGGGATAGACAGGAGGCACTGAACTACAGGCCAGTGTCCCTAACCTGCATACCATGCAAGCTGATGGAGAAGATTGTGCGAAAAAAACTAGTGGAGCATCTGGAGCGAAGGAACTTTGTAACACAGCATCAACATGGGTTCAGGGATGGCAGGTCCTGCCTCACAGGGTTACTTGAATTCTACGACCAGGCAACAAAAATAAGGCAAGAAAGAGAAGGGTGGGCAGACTGCATATTTTTGGATTGTCAGAAAGCCTTTGATACAGTGCCACACAAGAGGCTAGTGCGAAAGTTGGAGATGCAGGCTGGAGTGAGAGGGAAGGTACTCCGGTGGATAGAGGAATACCTAAGCAACAGGAGACAACGAGTCTGTGTGAGGGGTGAGGTCTCAGATTGGCGAGACGTCACAAGTGGAGTCCCGCAGGGGTCAGTCCTTGGACCTATACTGTTTCTGGTATATGTAAATGATCTCCCAGAGGGTATAGATTCGTTCCTCTCAATGTTTGCCGACGATGCAAAAATTATGAGGAGGATTGAAACAGAGGATGATAGTAGGAGGCTACAAGATGACCTGGATAGACTGAGTGAATGGTCCAACAAATGGCTGTTGAAGTTCAACCCGAGTAAATGCAAAGTAATGAAACTAGGCAGTGGAAACAGGAGGCCAGGCACAGGATACAGAATAGGAGATGAAGTACTTAATGAAACAGACAGAGAGAAAGATCTAGGAGTTGATATCACACCAAACCTGTCTCCTGAAGCCCACATAAAGAGAATAACGTCTGCGGCATATGCGAGGCTGGCTAACATCAGAACGGCGTTCAGGAACCTGTGTAAGGAATCATTCAGAATCTTGTACACCACATATGTAAGACCAATCCTGGAGTATGCGGCCCCAGCATGGAGCCCGTACCTTGTCAAGCACAAGACGAAGCTGGAAAAAGTCCAAAGGTATGCTACTAGACTAGTCCCAGAACTAAGAGGCATGAGTTATGAGGAAAGGCTGCGGGAAATGCACCTCACGACACTGGAAGACAGAAGAGTAAGGGGGACATGATCACAACCTACAAAATCCTCAGGGGAATCGACCGGGTAAACAAGGATGAACTTTTCAACACTGGTGGGACGCGAACAAGGGGACACAGGTGGAAGCTGAGTACCCAAATGAGCCACAGAGACGTTAGAAAGAACTTTTTCAGTGTCAGAGTAGTTAGCAAATGGAATGCATTAGGAAGTGATGTGGTGGAGGCTGACTCCATTCACAGTTTCAAATGTAGATATGATAGAGCCCAATAGGCTCAGGAATCTGTACACCAGTTGATTGACGGTTGAGAGGCGGGACCAAAGAGCCAGAGCTCAACCCCCGCAAGCACAATTAGGTGAGTACAATTAGGTGAGTACACACACACACACACACACACACACACACACACGCCACACACACACACGCCACACACACACACACACGCCACACACGCACACATGCCACACACATGCCACACACGCACACATGCCACACACATGCCACACACATGCCACACACACACACACACATATTCCATTCCACTTGACCAAAGAACCAGAGCTCAACTCATCTAGTTGTGCATGCGGGGGTTGAGCTCTAGCTCTTTGGTCCCGCCTCTCAACCGTCAATCAACTGGTGTACAGGTTCCTGAGCCTATTGGGCTCTATCATATCTACACTTGAAGCTGTGGATGGAGTCAGTCTCCACCACATCACTGCCTAATGCATTACATTTGTCTACTACTCTGACACTAAAAAAAATTCTTTCTAACGTCTCTATGGCTCATTTGGGCACTCAGTTTCCACCTGTGTCCCCTAGTGCGTGTGCCCCTTGTGTTAAAAAGTGTCTTTATCTACCCTATCAATTCCTCTGAGAATCTTGTTTGTGGTGATCATGTCCCCCCTAACTCTTCTGTCTTCCAGAGACGTGAGGTTTAATTCCCGTAGTCTCTCCTCGTAGCTCATACCCCTCAGCTCGGGTACTAGTCTGGTGGCAAACCTTTGAACCTTTTCCAGTTTAGTCTTATGCTTGACTAGATATGGACTCCATGCTGGGGCTGCATACTCCAAGATTGGTCCGACAGTGTGCATGTGCGTGCGTGTGTGTGTGTGTGTGTGTGTGTGTGTGTGTGTGTGTGTGTGTGTGTGTGTGTGTGTGTGTGTGTGTGTGTGTGTGTTTACTAGTTGTGTTTTTGCGGGGGTTGAGCTTTGCTCTTTCGGTCCGCCTCTCAACTGTCAATCAACTGTTTACTAACTAACTACTAACTACTTTTTTTTTTTTCACACCACACACACACACACACACACACCAGGAAGCAGCCCGTGACAGCTGACTAACTCCCAGGTACCTATTTACTGCTAGGTAACAGGGGCACTTAGGGTGAAAGAAACTTTGCCAATTTGTTTCTGCCTCGTGCGGGAATCGAACCCGCGCCACAGAATTACGAGTCCTGCGCGCTATCCACCAGGCTACGAGGCCCCCGACGTGTGTGTGTATATGTGTGTGTGTGTGTGTATATGGGTGTGTGTGTATGTGTGTGTGTGTGTGTGTGTGTGTGTGTGTGTGTGTGTGTGTGTGTGTTGTGTGTGTGTGTGTGTGTGTGTGTGTGTACTCACCTATATGTACTCACCTATATGTGCTTGCAGGATCGAGCATTGACTCTTGGATCCCGCCTTTCTAGCTATCGGTTGTTTACAGCAATGACTCCTGTCCCATTTCCCTATCATACCTAGTTTTAAAAGTATGAATAGTATTTGCTTCCACAACCTGTTCCCCAAGTGCATTCCATTTTCTACTACTCTCACGCTAAAAGAAAACTTCCTAACATCTCTGTGACTCATCTGAGTTTCCAGTTCCACCCATGTCCCCTCGTTCTGTTATTATTACGTGTGAACATTTCATCTATTTCCACTTTGTCAATTCCCCTGAGTATTTTATATGTCCCTATCATATCTCCTCTCTCCCTTCTTTTCTCTAGTGTCGTAAGGTTCAGTTCCTTCAGCCGCTCTTCATATCCCATCCCTCGTAGCTCTGGGACAAGCCTCGTCGCAAACCTCTGAACCTTCTCCAGTTTCTTTATGTGTTTCTTCAGGTGGGGGCTCCATGATGGCGCGGCATACTCTAAGACGGGTCTCACGTAGGCAGTGTAAAGCGCCCTAAAAGCTTCCTCATTTAGGTTTCTGAATGAAGTTCTAATTTTCGCCAGTGTAGAGTACGCTGCTGTCGTTATCCTATTTATATGTGCCTCAGGAGTTAGATTAGGTGTCACATCCACTCCCAGGTCTCTTTCTCGAATCGTTACAGGTAGGCTGTTCCCCTTCATTGTGTGTGTGTGTGTGTGTGTGTGTGTGTGTGTGTGTGTGTGAAGATTAAGAATGTGACAAGCCACATGGTCGACACTCCCGCCCTCTTTGTCACCTTCTTGTCACCCTTAAGGACAAGAGCGAAGCATTATTATCCTGAGATATACACCTCGCTACGAAGCCTCCCTCCCTTAATCCTCTCATCTCCCCTCCCCCCCTCGCTCCTTCCCTTACCCTCTAATCCCTCAACCTTATTTATTCCCTCATAACTCCCATAACTCCCCTACACACACACACACACACACACACACACACACACACACACACACACACACACACACACACACACACAATGTTCGGGGGCCGGTGGCCGAGCGGACAGCACGCTGAACACGTGATCCTGTGGTCCCAGGTTCGATACCGGGCGCCGGGGAGAAATAATGGGCAGAGTTTCTTTCACCCTATGCCCTTGTTACCTATCAGTAAATAGGTACCTGGGAGTTAGTCAGCTGTCACGGGTTGCGTCCTGGTGTGTGTATGTGGTGTGGGAAAAAAGAAAGTAGTAGTAGTTAGAAACAGTTGATTGACAGTTGAGAGACGGGCTGAAAGAGCAGAGCTTAACGCCCCCCCCCAAGCACAACTAGGTGAATACACATACACTTCACTCCTAGCTGTCCCTCCCTCCCCCATGCCACCATTCCTTCCCCGTCCCATCCCAAATCCTTATCCTGACCCCTTCCCAGTGCTATATAGTCGTAATGGCTTGGCGCTTTCCCCCCAGATGATAATAATAATGCCTCCCTCCCCCAACAATTCCTCCGTTGTTCACTGTTAACTGCTTGATACCTGGTTGATGGGGTTCTGGGAGGTCTTCTACTCCCCAAGCCCGGCCCGAGGCCTCTCTGACTTGTGAGAGTTTGGTCCACCAGGCTGTTGCTTGGAGCGGCCCGCAGGCCCACATACCCACCACAGCCCGGTTGGTCCGGCACTCCTTAGAGAAAATGATCTAGTTCTCTCTTGGAGATGTCCACGGTTGTTCCGGCAATATTTCTTATGCTCCCTGGGAGGACGTTGAACATCCTCTGATGTTTATACAGTGTTCTCTGATTGTGACTATGGCACCTCTGCTCTTCACTGGTTCTATTCTGCATTTTCTTCCATATCGTTCACTCCAGTACGTTGTTATTTTACTGTGTAGATTTGGTACTTGGCCCCTCCAGTATCTTCCAGGTGTATATTATTTGATCTCTCTTTCGTCTTCTTTCTTGTGAGGACATTTGGAGAGCTTTGAGATGATCCCAATAATTTAGGTGCTTCATTGCGTCTATGCGTGCCGTATATGTTCTCTGTATTCCCTCTATTTCAGCAATCTCTCCTGCTCTGAAGGGGAAGTGAGCACTGAGCAGTACTCAAGACGGGACAACAAGACGGGACGGGACGGGACAAGTAACTTGAAGAGTACAACCATTGTGATGGGATCCCTGGATTTGAAAGTTCTCGTAATCCATCCTATCATTTTTTTGGCTGACGCAATATTTGCTTGGTTATGCTCCCTAAACGTTAGGTCGTCGGACATCATTATTCCCAAATTATTTATATGTTGCTTTCCTATTATGGGTACATTTGATTGTGTTTTGTACTCTGTATTATGTTTAAGGTCCTCATTTTTACCGTACCTGAGTACCTGGAACTTATCACTGTTAAACATCAAGTTATTTTCTGTTGCCCAGTCGAAAACTTTATTAATATCTACATGAAGTTTTACAATGTCTTCAGCCGAGGTAATTTTCATGTCGATTTTTGTGTCATCTGCAAAGGATGATACGAAGCTGTGACTTGTATTTTTGTCTATATCTGATATGAGAATAAGGAAAAGCAGTGTTACAAGGACTGTACCCTGAGGTACAGAGCTTTTAACTACGCTTGGACTCTATTGTATATGGTTGACTGTTACTCGCCGAGTCCTGTTTGACAAAAAAAAAACTGAGTATCCAGCGTCCTACTTTACGAAGTCCGTGTATACCACATCAGCATTCTGTTTTTCTTCTAATGCCTCAGTGACTTTGTCGTAGTGGTCAAGTAGCTGTGTAGAGGGGCTATGTCTACTACTTTAAGTGCATTTAACTGTTAGACCCACGTCAATCCCCCCTCCCTCGCTTTCCTTTACACCTAAACCCCTCCCATATCTCCCTTTACCCGCCACGCTCCCTTCACCCCCACCCATAATACACCCCCCTTGGTCGCTGTATCTCCTGCAACCCATTATATTCATGTCTTTTGTTTTTGTCAACTGCCGTAAGCCCATATCCCCATTTACTATTACTCTGGAGATGGGGGGGGGGATTGGCTGGAGAGGGGGGAGATGGGGAGGGGGGGGAAGAGTGGGGGAGATGGGGAGGGAGGAAAGGGGGTGGAGGGTGGAAAGGGGGGGGGGGGAGGGGCAACCAGGATAGGGCAAGAGCCGTCTATAACACGTCTTGAATCAGAGGGGGAATTAGTTTAATAGGTACACCAGCAGCTTCTGAACCACCTCCCACAACCACTAGGTGTTGACCCTATTCCCGGGGGTGACCCTGGATGACCCTGGCCCCGGGGGTCACCCGGGGGAGGGCGTCGGCAGGCAATCTTTGTCACCAAACAGCGCGACAGCAAACAAAGATGGCTGCCAGAAAAGATCTGACATTATAAGAGAAAAAAAAGGCGCCAAATGTGTAGACTCACGGCCCCGGGGGCCAGTCGTCGCCCCTTGCGCGGGCAAGTGATCGTTCTCAAATTGTCGCTCACTCTCAAGCGCTTCTTATATACAGGTCACTTTAGGTCACAATATTACCAGAATAGACAAATTCTTCACGGAAGGTCCTAAGCAGGGTAACAATAGTTCCTTATCACCTTCCTTATCGAGCTTAAGAAAACGTAATTTACAGCCACCCTCCAGGCAGTAGGGACCACATTGGCCACCCTCCAGGCAGTAGGGACCACATTGGCCACCCTCCAGGCAGTAGGGACCACATTGGCCACCCTCCAGGCAGTAGGGACCACATTGGCCACCCTCCAGGCAGTAGGGACCACATTGGCCACCCTCCAGGCAGTAGGGACCACATTGGCCACCCTCCAGGCAGTAGGGCCCACGTTGGCCACCTTCCAGGCAGTAGGGACCACATGGCCACCCTCCAGACAGTAGGGACCACATTGGCCACCCTCCAGGCAGTAGGGCCCACGATGGCCACCCTCCAGGCAGTAGGGCCCACGATGGCCACCTTCCAGGCAGTAGGGCCCACGATGGCCACCCTCCAGGCAGTAGGGCCCACGATGGCCACCCTCCAGGCAGTAGGGCCCACGATGGCCACCCTCCAGGCAGTAGGGCCCACGATGGCCACCCTCCAGGCAGTAGGGCCCACGATGGCCACCCTCCAGGCAGTAGGGCCCACGATGGCCACCTTCCAGGCAGTAGGGCCCACGATGGCCACCCTCCAGGCAGTAGGGCCCACGATGGCCACCCTCCAGACAGTAGGGCCCACGATGGCCACCCTCCAGGCACTAGGGACCACGTTGGCCACCCTCCAGGCAGTAGGGCCCACGATGGCCACCCTCCAGGCAGTAGGGACCACGATGGCCACCTTCCAGGCAGTAGGGCCCATGGCCACCCTCCAGGCAGTAGGGCCCACGATGGCCACCCTCCAGGCAGTAGGGACCACGTTGGCCACCCTCCAGACAGTAGGGCCCACGATGGCCACCCTCCAGGCAGTAGGGCCCACGTTGGCCACCCTCCAGGCAGTAGGGCCCACGATGGCCACCCTCCAGGCAGTAGGGCCCACGATGGCCACCCTCCAGGCAGTAGGGCCCACATGGCCACCCTCCAGACAGTAGGGCCCACGATGGCCACCCTCCAGGCAGTAGGGCCCACGTTGGCCACCCTCCAGACAGTAGGGACCACGTTGGCCACCCTCCAGACAGTAGGGCCCACGTTGGCCACCCTCCAGACAGTAGGGCCCACGATGGCCACCCTCCAGACAGTAGGGCCCACGTTGGCCACCCTCCAGACAGTAGGGCCCACGTTGGCCACCTTCCAGGCAGTAGGGCCCACGATGGCCACCCTCCAGGCAGTAGGGCCCACGATGGCCACCCTCCAGGCAGTAGGGCCCACGATGGCCACCCTCCAGGCAGTAGGGCCCACGATGGCCACCCTCCAGGCAGTAGGGCCCACGATGGCCACCCTCCAGGCAGTAGGGCCCACGATGGCCACCCTCCAGACAGTAGGGCCCACGATGGCCACCTTCCAGACAGTAGGGCCCACGATGGCCACCTTCCAGACAGTAGGGCCCACGATGGCCACCTTCCAGACAGTAGGGCCCACGATGGCCACCCTCCAGACAGTAGGGCCCACGATGGCCACCCTCCAGACAGTAGGGCCCACGATGGCCACCCTCCAGACAGTAGGGACCACGATGGCCACCCTCCAGGCAGTAGGGACCACGTTGGCCACCCTCCAGGCAGTAGGGCCCACGATGGCCACCCTCCAGACAGTAGGGCCCACGTTGGCCACCCTCCAGACAGTAGGGCCCACGTTGGCCACCCTCCAGACAGTAGGGCCCACGATGGCCACCCTCCAGACAGTAGGGCCCACGTTGGCCACCCTCCAGACAGTAGGGCCCACGATGGCCACCCTCCAGACAGTAGGGCCCACGATGGCCACCCTCCAGACAGTAGGGACCACGTTGGCCACCCTCCAGGCAGTAGGGACCACGTTGGCCACCTTCCAGGCAGTAGGGCCCACGATGGCCACCCTCCAGACAGTAGGGACCACGTTGGCCACCCTCCAGACAGTAGGGCCCATGGCCACCCTCCAGACAGTAGGGCCCACATGGCCACCCTCCAGACAGTAGGGCCCAGCATGGCCACCCTCCAGACAGTAGGGCCCAGCATGGCCACCCTCCAGACAGCAGGGCCCAGCATGGCCACCCTCCAGACAGCTGGAGCATGGCCACCCTCCAGACAGCCGGAGCATGGCCACCCTCCAGACAGGCCACCCTCCAGACAGCTGGAGCATGCCACCCTCCAGACAGCCGGAGCATGCCACCCTCCAGACTTTTGTACCCCCTTGAAGATATTTTACGCAAATTCAATAGAGTCAAAGACTGAACACTAAATTAGTCAATAAATTGCTTTGAACAACGAAGAATTTCTTAAAAGCCTCTTTGGTACACGAGGAAGTTACTATAGAAAACGGGTGACGGGAGTCCCATCAACCTTTCAGTTCATGGGACTTTTTGGGGACTTTTTGGGTGGACTTTTTGGGGACTAACGTGATACTTTGGTCATCACATCTTCAGCCAGGTTATTGTGACCCATCGTCTGTCCACGGGATTATAACTTTTGATATCGTGAACAGTACGCAAATCTGCTCACCATTAAAAACAAAACACAATGGGTTAATTACAATTGTGATCCTGTAAATACACGCAACATGGCTGCACCGAACAAGTGGTCCAGCCAACAACTTGTTGTACAAGACACTTGTATTATTTTATATATTACAACGTTTCGGTCCGTGTTGGCCAGAAGTTGTCAGCAACTTGTCACGGCTTGATAAGGAAGGACCGAAACGTCGTCCCTTTCAATTCGTGTGTCTGGGGTGGGCCCCGCCAAACACACACCGAAACTACGACGTTGGTACAACGTTCGAACAAGTTTTAACACCTCCTAACCAGTTATAACAACCAACATAGCAAGTTGTAACAACGTTCTAATACGTCATAAACACGTTAAGCCAAGATGTAACAACTTTATTACAAGCTGTAACAAGCGGAAAATAGAGACAGTTTCGGTTTGTGTTTACAGGGGGGGGATTTGTTCACAATTAGGATTCAAACAACGTTACTGACCAATCATGTGGTGAACAACATATGACGCAGATGTCATGTGGTGAACAACATATGACGCAGATGTCATGTGGTGAACAACATATGACGCAGATGTCATGTGGTGAACAACATATGACGCAGATGTCATGTGGTGAACAACATATGACGCAGATGTCATGTGGTGAACACAACATATGACGCAGATGTCATGTGGTGAACACAACATGTTGACGCAGATGTCATGTGGTGAACACAACATATGACGCAGATGTCATGTGAACAACATATGACGCAGATGTCATGTGGTGAACACAAACATATGACGCAGATGTCATGTGGTGTACAACATATGACGCAGATGTCATGTGGTGAACAACATATGACGCAGATGTCAACATATGACGCAGATGTCATGTGGTGAACAACATATGACGCAGATGTCATGTGGTGAACACAACCTATGACGCAGATGTCATGTGGTGAACAACATATGACGCAGATGTCATGTGGTGAACAACATATGACGCAGATGTCATGTGGTGAACAACATATGACGCAGATGTCATGTGGTGAACAACATATGACGCAGATGTCATGTGGTGAACAACATATGACGCAGATGTCATGTGGTGAACACAACATATGACGCAGATGTCATGTGGTGAACAACATATGACGCAGATGTCATGTGGTGAACAACATATGACGCAGATGTCATGTGGTGAACAACATATGACGCAGATGTCATGTGGTGAACAACATATGACGCAGATGTCATGTGGTGAACAACATATGACGCAGATGTCATGTGGTGAACACAATATGACGCAGATGTCATGTGGTGAACAACATATGACGCAGATGTCATGTGGTGAACAACATATGACGCAGATGTCATGTGGTGAACAACATATGACGCAGATGTCATGTGGTGAACAACATATGACGCAGATGTCATGTGGTGAACAACATATGACGCAGATGTCATGTGGTGAACAACATATGACGCAGATGTCATGTGGTGAACAACATATGACGCAGATGTCATCTGGTGAACAACATATGACGCAGATGTCATGTGGTGAACAACATATGACGCAGATGTCATGTGGTGAACACAACATATGACGCAGATGTCATGTGGTGAACAACATATGACGCAGATGTCATGTGGTGAACAACATATGACGCAGATGTCATGTGGTGAACAACATATGACGCAGATGTCATCTGGTGAACAACATATGACGCAGATGTCATGTGGTGAACAACATATGACGCAGATGTCATGTGTGTGAACACAACATATGACGCAGATGTCATGTGGTGAACAACATATGACGCAGATGTCATGTGGTGAACAACATATGACGCAGATGTCATGTGGTGAACAACATATGACGCAGATGTCACAACATATGACGCAGATGTCATCTGGTGAACAAACAACATATGACGCAGATGTCATGTGGTGAACAACATATGACGCAGATGTCATGTGGTGAACAACATATGACGCAGATGTCATCTGGTGAACAACATATGACGCAGATGTCATCTGGTGAACAACATATGACGCAGATGTCATCTGGTGAACAACATATGACGCAGATGTCATGTGGTGAACAACATATGACGCAGATGTCATCTGGTGAACAACATATGACGCAGATGTCATCTGGTGAACAACATATGACGCAGATGTCATCTGGTGAACAACATATGACGCAGATGTCATGTGGTGAACAACATATGACGCAGATGTCATGTGGTGAACACAACATATGACGCAGATGTCATCTGGTGAACAACATATGACGCAGATGTCATGTGGTGAACAACATATGACGCAGATGTCATGTGGTGAACAACATATGACGCAGATGTCATCTGGTGAACAACATATGACGCAGATGTCATGTGGTGAACAACATATGACGCAGATGTCATGTGGTGAACCTCTCGGTAGCTCCTGGTCCCTTCAGAGTTAATTACTCTGAGGGACGGCTGACGGGGCTGAAGCCTTTATTAATATCAATGATCTGCATGTCGGCCTCCACTCGCTTAGTGTTCAAGGGCGCGGGCAAGTTGTACACGGCAGGGAGGGGGAGGGGGTGGGAGAGGGGGTGGGAGGGAAGCTGGGGGGAAGGGTGAGGGGGAAGGGAGGGAAGCAGGGAAGGGGGAAGAGGACAAGAGCACAGCTGTGTGTGTGTGTGTGTGTGTGTGTGTGTGTGTGTGTGTGTGTGTGTGTGTGTGTGTGTGTGTGTGTGTGTGTGTGTGGCCAAGCTGGTGTTGTGTGTGTGGTAATGATCCTTGATGATTCTGCCATGGCCGGTCGCTCTACCTACAGGCCACCATCACCACCTGCCGTTAACACTAAGCCAGACTGATAACACGCCCCAGCACTGTTTCCTGCGGGCAGCGGTCTCTCGCTATTCAACGCCGATCCCTTCCTCCAATCCTTATTCTCCATCCTTGGAGGCGCAACATTTCCGTGTGCTCAAACTCGACGCGGTGGGAACTTGTGCGCTAAAAAAGGGCGGAGTATTGGGGAACCTGTGTTCACTGGGGGGGGGGGGGACTCTCCTTGCCTCACGACTCTCGCTACTATCACCAACTTTGAACTAAGATAAGCTACAGAAATTGTTTGATACAAGGAGTTCCAATTCTATTGTTTCTTCCTCGGTGTGTGGGAGTACAGAGGGTATATGGTCTCCATTACTGTCTTGGAAGGAAGATGGAGTGATGTGTGGGTGTAGGGGGGGGGGGGGAGGAGGGGGGGGGCGTGTGGGTGGGGAAGGGGGGGGGGAGGTGGAGGGGGGAGGCGTGTGGAGGGGTGAGGTGTTTTCGTCTATACCTTCTCGGAATACGGAATTGTCTTAATGTCGTAATAATTGAATCTACACTACAAGAATGTTCCTGTCCCAAGTTGGCGGCCAGATGCCTGGGGATAGCCTCACTCAAATTTGCAGTGGGAATGGCGTGGGGTAAGGACGGACATAGGCTAGTCGGTGCAGGCCTAATTTAAATCCTTTACCAATAATAAACACCCCTACGCCATCTTCGTGACAAGTGTGAAATATGGTTTGTGATCAACAGCGAACTTGCAGCGTCATAATGATAATATTTCAGAGATCCACTCAACTGTTTCAATGTTTCTTAATAATATAGATAGATGAATATATAGACGGACAGATGGATGGATAGATGGGTGGATAAAGACAAATGAATGGACAAGACAGATGTCTTAGCAAGAGGGCTAAGAGGATTATATATACACACACACACATTATATATATATATATATATATATATATATATATATATATATATATATATATATATATATATATATATATATATATATATATATATATATATATGTCGTACCTAGTAGCCAGAACGCACTTTTTGGCCTACTATGCAAGGCCCAATTTGCCTAATAAGCAAAATTTTCCTGAATTAATATATTTTGTATAATTCTTTTCTTATGAAATGATAAAGCTACCAATTTCATTATGTTTGTGGTCAATTTTTTTTATTGGAGTTAAAATTAACGTAGATATATGACCGAACCTAACCAACCCTACCTAACCTAACCTAACCTATCTTTATAGGTTAGGTTAAGTTAGGTAGCCGAAAAAGTTAGGTTAGGTTAGGTAGGTTAGGTAGTCGAAAACCAATTAATTCATGAAAACTTGGCTTATTAGGCAAATCGGGCCTTGCATAGTAGGCTGAGAAGTGGGTTCTGGCTATTAGGTACGACATATATATATATATATATATATATATATATATATATATATATATATATGACAATGTCAGACCACGGAGGAAAATGAAACAGGAATTTCCTTAAGTACTTTCGTATATTAAATACATCTTCAGAAGGAAGATGTATTTAATAATACATCTTCAGAAGGATTCCTTCTGAAGATGTATTTAATATACGAAAGTACTTAAGGAAATTCCTGTTTCATTTTCCTCCGTGGTCTGACATTGTCACATTCTTAATCACGTGTTTATTTTCGTGATATACACACACACATAAATATATATATATAAAGTGTGGGGTTAAGGTAGGCTTGTCCTGAGTGAACCTTAGCCCTCTTGCCTCCTCCAGCAGGGGCTAGCAGCCCTCCATCAGGAGTATTGATCCTGAGAGTATAGGATCCCCACACTCCCTCCTCCTCCTCCTCCTCCTCCACCCCCCCCCCTCTTCAGCTCCCCTCCCTACAACCCATAATGTTCATCCCTTCCTCCCTCTCCCTGCATCTCTCTCTCTCTCCCTTCTCCCTTTCTCTCTCCCCGTGCCCTTGTAACAAGAGAGAGCAGTACCCAGGACTGCTCCTGAGACTGTGTGAGTGAGTGAGTGAGTGAGTTGAGTAAGTGAGGACTGTGAGGACTGAGTTAAGTGAGGACTGTCAGTCAGTTCGTCAGTCAGTCCGTCAGACTGACCCCCCCCTCCCCCAGTTGAACAGTTGAACAGATGGAACGTCTGGGCGCGGCGGCGTTCAGGCTATAGCTGAACAATGGAAAGTGACAGCTGAGACAGGCGCCAACAAGGGCTAGGTCAATCGCCGGATCAGGTCGGGTCAACAGCCGGGTCAGGTCGGGTCAACTGGGCAGACACGAAGCTGTCTGTTATGTTGTGGCTTTACTAATCCCCCGGGGGAATTAAACCTCACTTCGCTGGAAGACAGAAGAGTTAGGGGGGACATGATCACCACATTCAAGATTCTGAAGGGGATTGATAGGGTAGATAAAGACAGGTTATTTAACACAAGGGGCACACGCACTAGGGGACACAGGTGGAAACTGAGTGCCCAAATGAGCCACAGAGATATTAGAAAGAACTTTTTTAGTGTCAGAGTGGTTGACAAATGGAATGCATTAGGCAGTGATGTGGTGGAGGCTGACTCCATACACAGTTTCAAGTGTAGATATGATAGAGCCCAGTAGGCTCAGGAACCTGTACACCTGTTGATTGACGGTTGAGAGGCGGGACCAAAGAGCCAGAGCTCAACCCCCGCAAACACAACTAGGTGAGTACACACACACTAGCTGTACCCGGCCACGCGTTGCTGTGGCTCAAGTAACGCATGTGCGTTGCTGAGCAATAGCAACCTTCCCTCGTCTCCCAGTCCTCCCCACCATTCCCCCCCGTCTCCACCATCCCAAACTCCCGTCCTCCCCACCATTCCCCCCCCCCCGTCCCCACCATCCCCAACTCCCGTCCTCCCCACCATTCCTCACTCCCTCGTCCGATGCATTCCCAAATGAGCTGATGTTCCCATCACTGAAAAATAAAAACACTTAAAAAAAACGAAGTGAAAAACAATGAAAAAATACAAAAATAAACTATTCTTACGAAATGAACGGTATGGTAAACGACGCAGCTCAATTTCAATGCAATGTCAAACTATGAAAATTTACATCTACACATCTGAAATTTACACGTCACATCATGATAATTCCATTCATCACAGTAATTGGAATCATTTAAATGAAATCGTAACATATTTATTATAGCATGTGTTGCTCTTACGTGCAATAGATGGGGCTGTTTTTTTTTTTTTTTAAAGCATGATTTTACCTGTCACAGGTGTGGCATTTATACTTATTCTCTCGAAATTACCGGTATGGTAAACAACACATCTCAATTTCAACGCGATGTCACACAAAATAAATAAATCAAAATGAAATTAAATCAAAATCTATGAAAATTCAATTTATCAATGCAATCGGAAACATTGAAATGGAATCGTTACATATTTAGTATAGCGTGTATTGCTCTTACGTGCAACAGATGGGACTGTTTAAAAAAAAAAAACATGTTTTTACCTGTCACAGGTGTGGCATCAATATAGTAGGTATATAAAAACACTCGAGTATTCGAATGGAACGTTGTGTCAAAATTTCAGAGCAATCGGTGAGGAACTTTTGAAGATTACAGCGTGAGTAGCTCTTACGTCCACCAGATGGCGCCGTTTTTCAAGAGAAGCATGTTTTTTTCCTGTCACAGATGAGGTATATATATAGTAGGCATATAAAAACACGCGCCTATTCGAATGTAACGTTGTGTCAAAATTTCAAAACAAATGGTAAAGAGGTTTCGAAGATTTCCC